CGCCTGTGCACGAGTAACTGCGCACGCAGAGAATATTGAAGGAAATTTAGTACCAAGTTCTACCTCACAAACAGGACGTGCGGCCACCACTGGATGAGTAAAAACCTTACCACCGGCCAGGTCATTCCCCAAAATTAAACTGACCCCTTCTACTGGCAGTTTTGCACGCACTCCCAACTGAACTGGACCTGAAACCAAATCAGATGTCAAACACACAGTATGAAGAGGAACTTTTACACAGCCCAGCTCTATGCCACGAACCAGCACATCAGTCCCAGAGTAGGTTTCACTTGAAAAAGGTAGCACATTTTCAAGAATAAAAGATTGAGCAGCACCTGTGTCTCGCAAGATGTTAATGGTTTTCGTTGCAGAATCAGGGTTAACTGATACAGTGCCTTTGAACACAAATGGAGAGAAAACAGAAGCATCTGAACAACTTTGATCATGACTGTTAGACACCGTCTCAAGAACCACATTAGCTACACTTTTAGATTTTGTGTTTTTCTTCTTCCATAATTTACAGTCAGCAATCAAATGATTCGGGTCTAAACAATAAAAACAAACCCTTCTATTTTCGATATTCTTACCCTGCTCTTTACGCGGCTCGATGGAGCGCGCACCAAATTTTGAGTGCGTGAAAGTCTTTTCAGTGTTCACAAGCACTGGCGCACCGTAACTTTGGCTAGAAGCAGAGGAAAAAGCAGTCTTATGAGTGAGCGTGTATTCGTCTGCCAACACTGCTGCAGCTGAAATAGAATTCACTTTTTGTTCATTAAGATAAACAACTAAATTGTCAGGCAAACAGCTCTTAAAATCTTCTAGCAGAATTAATTCTTGTAACTGCTCAAAAGTAGTCGTTTTAGATGCTGCGCACCACTTCTCCAGCAAAACTTTCTTGTCGCGAGCAAAACTAACAAACGTCTGCTTGACAGATTTAGTGTAATTGCGAAACTTTTGTCTATACGCTTCGGGGACAAGTTCATAAACCCGCAGCACTGCAGCTTTCACAGAGTCATAATTTAGAGATTCTTCAATAGGCAAAGAAGAACAAACCTCCTGCGCCTTACCTACTAAACTGCATTGCAGCATTAACGCCCACATATCCTTAGGCCACTTCAGCTTCGCAGCGATTCGCTCAAACGCAATAAAATATGCGTCAACCTCTGACTCTCTAAAAGGAGGGACAAGCTTGATATGCTTACTTGGATCAAACAGAACAGCTGATGTACGTTCATCTCTAGGCTGAGTCAATGCAGAAGATACAGCAGGTGGATCAATAAGTGAACTAGCTTCCTTTTGAGTCATCTCAAGTTTACGAATTTGCAAAACATGATTTTCGTGTTCTTGTCGTTTAATTTGTAACTCTAATTCTTTAAGTTGTATTTGCAATACAAGATCAGATTCAACTGTAACGGAATCAGCCGAAACAGACGCCTCAACAGCGCTCTTCTCCATCTCAGTTTTTTGTTCACTCTCTTCACACAACAACCCTTGTTTAACCAATTCAATAAATACAGCAGATTTAATTACTTGTTTAGAAGCAGTACTTACTAGAGAAATATTCAAAACATCTGCAATCTGCAATAGATCTCTTTTACGGAACTTATTAAACTGCTGCACACTCGGATTTGAAATGAATTCATCAATATCTAACTCCATAATGAATCAAGACATACATCTGAAATTCCCTTTCAAATATCAAATAAACAGGGTTAACTGAATCTTCAAATACAGCATATTTGAGAGTGCCAATAAGAAACATCCAAAAAGACTATAAACAACAATTGTATATGCTCAAAAAGCAAACAGGGCCTCAATTGTCATTTATACAAACAAAAACCAAATAGACGAGCCCCCAATTGTTACGAATTAAATTAAAAATCCTTAATCAAAAAGAGATGTAACCAAAAACGTAACAAAATAACAGGGATTAAAAATATAATCCCTGGTGCCCCCGCGCTCTCTCTTCCCAAAATATACCAAAAACACAACCACTAAGAATTAACAAGAAAATATGATTTATTTACAGAAAATAAGGAGCAAAAATAACATCAGGAGGGGTTCAGCCAAAATAAATAACAATAAACCAAGCTATCTAAATTAGATTAAACTTCCCTAGAAAACAAATAAAATAAAATACAGAAAACTTACCTCCCTACTAACAAACACAGGAGAAAACGAAAATAACAAATAAGGCACCAAACCTCCCTACATGCTCCAAGCCCGACAGGGAGACAAACCGGGTTTCAATCGCCGGTTAAAAATTTAACACAACGGCATCTCAATATACATTCAAACACTCATGGAATCACGTTCTCCACTGAGTACAAGCGGGGAAGATCGAGAGAGAGCGGGGAGCCATCGAACCCATGCTCTCTGCAGGTTTTTATAGCCACCGCCAATCCAAGCGCCAATCATGGTCCGTCCCAAAGTAATCCGCTGCACCTGCGAATACTTAGAGTGAGAAAGAGAGAGAGAGCGAGAGAAAGAGAAAGAAAGAGCGCGAGAGCGCAAGAGAGAAACCACACACAAGCCTACACTACACTACTCGTAACACAGAGCAAATCTGCTTTTGTGTGATTTCATTCCTCATTTAAAATCAATGTTGACCTTGAAACACTACAGAACAGATTTTAATAATGCATTAGTGGATTTGAATCTCACACTGTGTTAAAAGACTTATGATAAAAGGTTTTAAGAGCTTAAGGAACTTAACTGTTCTGTTTCCAAGTCCCAATCCAGCTTCTCCACAAATCTATGAACAGTTGTTTTTGTTCTATTAAGGAAAATACTCAAAGAACTGGTCCAAACAATGCATAAAATATGGTATTTGTGCATGCTATGTGTGTGCAGTGTAAGTAGATTGGATTTTCACCTGTTAATGCGAGTCGAGCATCTTTAAAAGCGGTAGCGAATGATATCAACTCTGATGCTTTTATTTCAGAACAGACTTCAGCAGAGTTCCAAACCTTAAATCTCAAACACAAGGACTAAAAATCTTTTATATTGTCATGTAGCACAAGTACATCGCTTGCAAAAATCATGCCATGGATATTACATTAAGATGCCTGCTGGTTTAAAAGGGTCTAGATCAGTGGTTCTTGAACTTTTTTCATCAAGTACCACCTCAGAAAAGAATTGTCTCAATAAGTACCACCAAAATGAGCAGTATTGAAATACAGTAGCATAGTAGGCCCAGTAAAGCAGCTACAACTCTGCACAGTTAAAAAAGTGGCAGATTACCTATATACCAGAAATATAGGCTTTATGTCATATATGGCATATTATACACATCATTTTTGATAAATTTTGAAATGTGTGTAGCATGTACACGACATATTTTATTCCTCTGCGTACCACTAGAAAGAAGCCTGCGTATCACTAGTGGTACACGTACCACAGTTTGAGAACCACTGGTCTAGATTTAAAGAAGAAGGCCAAATGAGAACTCTTCTGCCATAAACTATAGTAAAACAACTTGTCAAAAAGAATTTAAAAATGGAACCCTGCGAACAGATTAAATACACCAATGGAGAAAAGAGCGCTCTTATTATAAGCGGTGAGTCAGCGCTTTTTTTTCCTGGTCATTGCACCTTTGCTGTGTGCAGTGTAAATGCAGACAATCGGATATCAGTCACTTCTAAAAGATGATGTTGCAGGTCATCAAAAAAATTGGATGCAGTTACAAAATTGGACTTGACCATCAAGATCTGCAGTGTGTATGCAGCCTTAGCTAGTTAGTTAAACTGTAAAACCCAAAACGTTAAGGTAACTCAAATCATTTGAGGAAACTGATTACAACAAACCATTTAAGTTCAAAAACTAACCCTAATGAGCTCTGAGAACTTACTTTAATTGAGTAAACGAAGCAGTTTGAGCACAGTAAAACCCATAAATGAAAAGAACTCAAATAAACTGAGGGTCCCACTTTATATTAAGTGGCCTTAACTAATATGTATTTACACAGGAGTTAATAGTATGTTACAATGTACTTATTGTGTGAACACATGTATTTACTGTGTACTTGTGCTTGATTAAACACATGTAATTAACTTTTATAATTACATTTGTAAATACACTGTTGACCATCCCTTACACCTTAACCCACCCTTAAACCTACCCACACCAGCAAACCTGTTCATAACTCAACCTCTATCCCAATTCAAAAGCACCACAAGTTTTCTCAAATACATCATAAACACAGTAAGGACATTGTATGTATTTTTTTTATGCAAGTACATAGTAGTTAAGGACACTTAATATAAAGTGGGACCCGACTGAGTACTGTAAAACCCAATGAGTTAAGGCAACTCATACCGTTTGAGGAAAGTGATTGCTACAAACCATTTGAGTAAAAAAAAAAAGTACTCTTTATGAGTACTGTGAACTTACTCCATTTAAGTTGAATTTAAGTAATGTGGTATTTAATTAACCCATTACCTTCAACACTGAGTTCAAAACTCTTTTCAAATGAGTAGAATTAACTTTCAGTAAATCTTGAGTTAACTATACTCATTTTATCTGATAAAGTTGACTGTTGGGTTTGACAGTGTAGTTAAAGAACCATTATTTTGACAAAAACTCTGAATGTGTATCTGTTCTGATGTGTATCTTTTCTCAAGGCAGAACAGGAGGAGCTCAAATGGAACTGATATGAATACGAACACTGATTTAGAGCCCCTTTAGAAGCTGGAATTGAAGAAAACAATTTTAAGGGGGCCTATTATGCCCATTTTACAAGATGCAATATAAGCCTCATGTCTTCCCAAAATGTGTCCATAAAGATCCAGCTCAAAATCCTCCCAGAATTTATATTAAACCATGCTGTAAAGGCTGCTTTTGGCTGAGTTCTTCCATGCGGTTTTGAGTTTCTCGTAATAAACTGACATTCTCCTCCCCTTTCCAGAAGAGGGCGGAGCCTTTACAGCTAGTGCCTCAGTTAATCCAGCAACAGCAAACAAAACACATTAGAAAAAAGAAAAAAAAACAATGAGTCGCACCTTCACTGTGATGATGAATCCAGATGAGTACAGTGGGTTTTCCCGGTCCAGCTGTCCACTCACTGTCAGGGATCCGCTGATGTAATCAAGAGCAAACATGCTGTTGGTGTTACCTGATGAATACAATAGGAAAAAAACAATGACTTTTAAGGCAGCATTTGGGTCAGAAGATGCTTCTGTTAGCACTGAATACTCCCATTTTAATCACTAGAGTATGTATCCTCATTAAATTCTGAACATTTCTCAACATTTGGATATTTTAATTATTGGAGGGTCATGATTATAAAGCGGTTAAATATCTGAGCCCAAACTTAAAGGTTGTAGGTCACAATCCTCAGAGGCGCGAGGGAAGCGGAGGGTCGTGGAGTTCCCTAATCACCATTCTGCCCTAGAGCAGGGCATGTAACCTCCGCTCCAGGGGGAACGTCCCGATCATCAGCTTTAAGCCAAGGAATTAAAAGTATTCATCTATCTGGTATGGCAAATTCAAAGGTTTAAAACAAAAATGGTATAAATTTTCTCATCAATAAAGACTGTGGTATCTATTATTGTTATTAGAGAGCTATCAGTCTGTGAGGCCTTTGCTAAGACTTTGCTTTTGCAGCCAACATGTTTCTCTCTACAAGCATAAATTATTATTATTATTATTATTTTATTTCAATTGTGCTCCACTGCATTTAAATCTGCTTTTGCTCAAGGTCTTAATTGTAATTGAAAGCCATTATAAACCTTAAAAGCACATATCCCTATTAGAATATGTAATATTAACTATTTGTTATTTTTGATGAATTTTAGCTGTTTTGCTGAAATACAACAATTTACACAGTGAAGTTTATGCCTTGTTTAGAGACATATTTCTTTAAACATACACATTAAGCAATTAAAAGATCAGTTAAAAGCCTAAATATAATATATAAGGGCCAAATAGTATAATACACTGTAAAAAACACTGTTAAATAAACAGAAATGTTTTTAGGTTACTTTAACTAATATTACTGAGTTATTAATGTTTCAGCTACATTTTTTTTTTTTTTTTTTTTGTTATACAAAGCTTAACTTAGTGAAGTTTATTTATACACTGATCTTGAGGAGCATGTGCTTATGATTGATCACGGCTGGTCCTGCATTAGCTAACACATAATTCACCAATCAAATGATTCCTTACTACTTACTATAAATAACCAGAATTTCTTACTTTAGTTATCTTCGGCTTGAGGAATCCCCCTTTCCACCCCTACTCCTCCCCTTTTATCTTTATAGGGTGGCACGGTGGCCCAGTGGTTAACACTGTTGCCTTACAGTCAGTAGCTCAAATCCTTAACAGGCCAGCTGTCGTTTCTGTGCGGAGTTCTCCCCGTGCTCACATGGGTTTCCCCCAGGTTCTCCAGTTTCCTTGCAAAGTCCAAAAACATGTGTCATAAGTGAACTGATTGATCTAAATTAGCACTACAGTTGAGCTCTTAACCAGCAGTATATCTCTATGTAGCAATTTGTAATCTGCCATCAGCTCTAAATAAGGGGGGAGTTCTTGAGTACTACCTGAGCTCAAACTCCCCTGTAGCCATGCAAACAGGAGGGAGGCCTGGGCTCAAGGATCATGTGAGCTCAGGGCTCTCTCCCGGTACAACATGCCAAACATGCTTTATAATCAATCATCAGCTAAGTGTGAACTCTTTAAATATTTTAGTCAGCTTAATTGATGCAATTTTAAATATGAAATTTTCTCTCATAACTAAAAAAATTAGTCAGGAAAATTTTTACAGTGTATATGGATCATTTCAATGAGCTCTAACGAGCTCTGGACATGATGAACTGTATTGTTTTATTCACAAATCAGCTAAAACAGGTAAGAGTGAACAATCGATTTTGGGATTTAGGAATCAATATCAATGTCTTAAAATGTTTAAGTTTCAAACGTTTCTAGCTTAAGTTCACTGTAAAAAAAAAAAAAGTTAATTAACAGTTTTCCATATTTTAATTCACGTATGGCTGAGTTTTCATGATTATCTATTCTTTTGAATTGAATTATGGAGCCTTGATGTTTCCTTCTGATGTTGAAAAATTTGGAAAAGTGATTTTTATTGACATTTTTAAGAGTTTGAAGTGACAATCTGACAGTTCCTTTTCTGTTATTTTACAGACCTATTTATTTATTTATTTATTTTCCTTCAGCTTACTCCCTTATTTATCAGGGGTCGCCACAGCAGAATGAACTGCCAACTATTTCGGCATATGATTTAAACAGCGGATGCCCTTCCAGCCGCAATCACACACTGCCGCCAATGTACAGTAGCTCATCCAATTCAACTATATCACATGTTTTTGGACTGTGGGGGAAACCGCAGCACCCGAAGGAATCCCACTTTAACACAGTGAGAACATGCAAGCTGGGACTCGAACCATTGACCTTCTTGCTGTGAGGGGAGAGTGCTTAACCACTGAGCCACCATGCCACCCTCTGACCTACTTAAATACAGTATAACAGTTCAAGCTAAAATGTCAATAAAAGTCACTGTCAAACAGTAGAGTTGCATATTTAACATCTAAAGTCGACAGAGCGGAGATCAAGGTTCATTTATGCAATTCATAACCATAAATAAATAGAACACATCTGTGAATCACAAAACACAGTGTTAATTAACAGATATCTTTTACAGTGTTAATAAAACCGCTGTATTTGTTCGGTACACATACAAAAATTGTGGGTCAAAAAATACATGATCTTCTACAAACGGTCACTGTAATTTTGATCATGCCAGCCTAATAAAACTCCAATAAATCAGCAGATCTTTTCACTTATATTGCAAAGTACCGCTGAGGATTTTCCAAAATGAAAAGGTAGGACAGAGACTCCATACAGTATATCAGATTATGCAGATTTTAATAAACTATCACAAAGACCAGCAACAGAATTTTATTACTAGGGCTGGGCGATATGGCAAAAATGCAATCTTGATTAATTATTTTCCATATTAAATGATATATATTTCAATATCAGTTGTTAATGCTTTCAGACTTAAAAGAGTATCCCAACAATGAGTAAAATCACAAAAATGAGAGGGTCCAGTAAACAGCATAACTTATTTTCGGTGGCCGATTATTTTTGGCGGACGAAAATTTGGTGCCAATATCTCCAATATCAACACACTTCTAGATTTCCACTGTTGCACATTTTTGCTGTGTGATTGGCTTTTAGATCAATATAAAGTAAGAAAAAAAAAAGTCCAGAGCTTCTCATTGTTATCAAAATAAATTTTATCGCGTTTTGATATAATATCATTCATCGGCCCTGTCCTAATGATTACTCATACATTGACGTTTTTTCAACAAACTCAGACTCTGAACATGAAGATGTGCTGCTACATTATACTTCAGCCTTTTGGTCAACAAACACAAATAAAAAGACAGTCAAAAAGTTAGAAACAGGAATCAAATTCTTCATCTGGCAGACAGCAGGCGTGTGGTTTGGGACTGGACCTCTCTCTGGTCTGAGACAGAAAGAAAATAATATCTTCAGACTCTGAGAACGGCAGCCCTGTTAATTAATCTGTTACTCCTGAGATATCATGCTGGTTTTGGGTAATTAGTTCAGTGCTGGATCGACGGCAGTGGCCCAAACTTGAAGGCTACAATAGAGCACTACATTGGCTTCACTATTCTCCTCTAATTCATTCTCCACTCAAAACACTTTATACTCCCTGGATAAACTCTTCATCTCATTAACACCTCGCTTTCCTTAATTATATGATATTTCAGTAATTATTTTCATTCTTTCTGTGTGCGTCCATCACTCACAGCTGCAGTGTCTCTTCACTGCTATCTAATTAAGTCCAGCAGATGCGGATGACACAGAGAGTGGCACGCAATTTGTCTTTTCCTACAACCGTTCCTTTGTTCTTTATGACAGATCTCCTCACCTCTGTACAGCTCTCATTGTGTACAATCATGTGCTACTAAGCCCACCCGTCAGTCTCCCAATTGCTCTGCTTTTTTATACTGTACAGTCACATTAATAGATTCAAAAGTACAATCCTCCACAACCCCATTACCACCTTCAGATAGCCATTGGTCATGGTTGTTTGTCAGCAGTTTTGTAATGCGAATGGAATTTGAATGTTAGAAGATAAACAAGTTTGTCAAGATGTTGAATGCTGGCTTGACAACGTTTTTTTTTTTTTCCAATACATACAGAAAAGCCAATATATATTATATAGATAGACAGAATAAACAAGGCAAATAATTAATTGTACAGATAACAAGAGAAAGAAAGAAAGAAAGAAAGAAAGAAAGAAAGAAAGAAAGAAAGAAAGAAAGAAAGAAAGAAAGAAAGAAAGAAAGAAAGAAAGAAAGAAAGAAAGACTAAGAATTAAAGGATAAAAACAAAAAGAAATACTGATAAAATTAGTAAGAAAGAAAGAGCTATTTAAAAAGAAAATGATAGAACCAAAAAGAAAAAAAGAAAACTAAAATAGAATAAAGCTCAACATAATAGAATATAATAGAATAGAATTGAACACCACATAATACAATAGAATTAAATAGAATAGAATAGAAATGAATAGAATATAACAGAATAGAAATTAGTAGAATAGAATAGAACAGAACATAATATAATAGAATATAATATACTAGAATTTAATAGAATTTAATAGAATAGAATAGAATAGAATAGAATAGAATAGAATAGAATAGAATAAAACACAACATAATAGAATAGAATAAAATAGAAATGAATAGAATAGAACACAACATATTAGAATAGAATAGAATAGAATAGAATAGAATAGAATAGAATAGAATAGAATAGAATAGAATAGAATAGAATAGAATAGAACACAACATAATAGAATAGAATAGAATAGAATAGAATAGAATAGAATAGAATAGAAATGAACAGAATAGAAAACAACATTAAAATAGAATAGAATAGAATAGAACACAACACAATAGAATAGAATAGGATAGAATAGAATAGAATAGAATAGAACAGAACAGAACAGAACACAACATAATAGAATAGAACACAACATAAAATAGAATAGAACAGTACACAACATAATAGAATAGAACACAACATAATAGAATAGAACACAACATAATAAAATAGAATAGA